GGAACGACTCTTACCACTTCATCTCCACTGTCTTGTGGAACAGATTTTCCTCCCTCCTCTAACAAGGCAGTAGTAGTCAGCTCGACTGAAACCAACTTTAACATCTGCATTTCCTCCAAAACAGAGAAGAGACCATCCTACTTCTAGGTTGGAATCACAGAATTATTGAATCCTTAGATTGGAAATAACCCTAGAGTTGTGTAGCCCAAGCACACAGTAGTCAATACTTAAATCTCCTCTAACCACTTCCTCTCGAGCCCACCTCCACTTGAGTCTGTCAACAGTGACTATGAGGAAGAGTAGGGATTTTGGCATAGTTCTCTAAATCACACTATGAAAAGAAACCACTCAAATCCATTAGACACCACCTACAATCAGTATTTATTTTTTAAAAAATGAGTCCAAACAGATCAAGTGGGAAGCTGTGGATTCAGCTGGAAAAAAGAAAAAACTGAAACAAATACAGAATCGTTGTTGAATATGGTTTGGCTCGAGCCAAAAGGATTAGAAAAGATCCTATCTCCACTGACAACCAAATAGCCCGCCCAGCTAAATTCTCCAATATGTTTAAAGTCTCTATCTTTGCAGGAGATAACATCCCTTTACATTAAAGTATTTAACCTCCTGAAGCGAATTAAGATTCAGAATTTATCCTAGGGTAGGAATTATTTTCTTAGTTATATTTCATAAATCCTATGACTTGAAAAAGTTCTTAAAAGGTGCTGTCGTTTAGATAATATAGAGTTTGTAAACCATGCAGCACACATGAAGAGCACAGTACATGTTAGTTACTTTCCTTCTAGTCCTCATCCAGCCCTCCTTAAATGCTAGGTTTATTGTTAATTGTTTCAAAATTACATTTTTTGTCAATTAGCTAGTTATTAACTTTAAAATACTGTTCTAGCTTTAGTTCCACTAAGTTACAGGCTAGTCTTCCTAATGATATATTTTATCTTTTTTTTTTTTTTTTTTTTACTGACCGGTAACGGGATCACAACCCTCGGTGTTGCGCCCACACCGCGCTCAGCCAGTGAGCGGGAACCGGTCTCCACATGGGATCTGAACCCTCGGCGGGAGCGCCGCCACGCTCCCAAGCGGCGCACTCTCCAGTGCGCCACCGGGCCGGCCCACTAATGATATATTTTATAAGCAACATGCTAGATTCAGAAATAATTGTGTCACTCAATCACTGGGACACCTGCTCCTTCACATGAAAAGAAACAGTTAACAGCATCTCAGGGCTAGTTGTCCTGTTCATTGTTAGCCAAGAAATTTTCAGTGCTGGATTTATCGATGCCAATCAGAACTAGCTTTATCAGTACTAACTCAATTTATTTAATAATTACTGATGAGACCAAAAGCACCAAGGTCCACCCTAGCCACCTCACAAAATTATCATATAACTGCAGTTGTCTTACCCTTCCTCCTGTGGCCCAAACTTCCAGACAGCCATTCAATTTGCCCAAGTCTATAATTATCATTCTATTATTCTAAAATAATTCCTATCCTCAACCAGTTCTGCCCCCACCCCAAGTTTTCTTCAGAGAGAAAGAGAAAATTCTGGGATACCCATCCTCTCTGCATTGTCTTCAGTTCTTTTTTTTTTTTTTTCCCTTTTTGTCTTTTTTCGTGTCCGGCAACGGATCGCAACCCTCAGTGTTGCGCCCGTACCGGACCGGGACCGGCAACGGGATCGCAACCCTCGGTGTTGCTCCCACACCTCACTCAGCCAGTGAGCGGGAACCAGTCTGTATGTGGGATCCGAACCCTCGACGGGATCGCCGCCGCGCTCCCAAGTGGCGCAGTGTAGCAGTGCGCCACCGGGCTGGCCCATTTTTTTTTTTTTTCAGTTCTAATGTATATTCCAGTTAAAGGATCTCAAGTTCACTCTGCAAGATTAGACCCTCTAGCAGGATTATTTTAAGTATTAGGAGATTATTGGAGAGTATGCAAAATGTGGGCAGTGGGCCATCTGCCTCACAGAATCATCCAAGTCTTCATAAAAATAGTTCCATAGATTCATAGGCCCTTCCCCTCATGAGCTAATTTAGAATCTGGGTTGAAGGAGGAGTTTAGGATCTGCATTGTTAACAAGCTCTCCAAATGATTCTTAAGCATATTGAAGTTTGAGAACCACTATCATAAACCCTGAGCATATTTGTCTCAAAGCAAATGGGAGAACAGAATGGGGGGAAGAGGGAGCTCCATCCAGTATTGTATTTTAAAATAAAATAGGTCCCATGTCTCAGTATCCATCTTCCTCAAGTTGAATTCCTCAATTAGCACAATTGTCCCATCTGTGGAATTTGATTCAGTTAAGTCTGATGACCCCTTGTCCTGTCCTATAATTTTCGATTGAGTTTCTCCTGGAAGGTTGTACTACTTAGGTTGCCTTTTAGAACTTCTAAATCTACATTAGTTTCCATAAATGCCTCAGAATAACTTCCTTCTGAGCCCTCCTCTCACCCTGTTTCAATTCCTATTCTCTCTCCTCCTTATATAGACTGAAAATGGAAAGCTGACAAATTATCTCTTTACAAAGAACTGAATTCCCAGTCTCTGTCTTAGCTGCAATAAACTAGGTTCAAACAATCTTAGCAGCCCCAGTAACATAGTAATTTTGGAAACAGATAATATCCTCTCTCAAAAGGTAGGCTCTTTCTCTGACTGAGGTTGTTCTAAATAACCAAGGATCCAAACCTAAGTTGGGATTACAACATCATCTGAGTCAAGAGGCTAGCCTCTGTGTAAGGATTCATGTTATTTTTTATTTTTATTTTAATTTAATTTTATTTTTTGTACAGCCACCAGAGAATGAAATTTGGCCAATATAAGAGAAAGCTAAATACTCTGATTTTATTTAAGCTTCAAGAGCTCAAGGAATCAATAACTACCTCAATACGCTGAATATTAATTTACAAGCTAATTCCTCAGTTTTTCTAATCTTCTGAACATTACAGTCTCTAAATACCCATAAAGTGACAAAATAAATCAGAAACATCTAGGAATCCACGTTGTTGAGAAATTTGCCAAGATTTCACTTTAGGCAATCTGAATTGGTTAAAAAAAAAAAGATACTGTTGCATGGAACATTTCCCCAGGGGAAAGGAAAAGAAATATTTCTTTAAATTTATTTATCACTACAACTTTATAATGTTAAATAGGAGGCTTTGGGTCAAAGACTACGGTGAAAATTATTTTCTATAAAATGTAACCCATAATTTAAAACAAAAATTTAGAAAAATTTAAAGAAATGTCTTCCCATTGATTACAAATAACTAACATATCATTCAATACTTCTTACCACATTTATTTACCATCATGTTTAGTTCAAAACACAAAGAAGGTGCTCAATCAATATTTCTAGTACACACCCAACAAGAACATGCTTATCTTCTTGCATTAGTTTCCTACTAAGACAATGAGAAAATTTTGACATAAAGTTAAAAAAAAATTCCAAGTTTCTTACCTTCATATCCTCTAGAGCATAAATCAGCTGTGGTCCCATAGACCTTCCACCTGCTCCATAAGCCAGATCCCTTGTAGAGCATAATATTCTTTTCTTGTTTATTGCCATAGTTAAAAAATAAGTCTTCTCCCCTGATCCCAAAAAGTGTGTCATTTTTGCACTCCCATTTCTGAAATTCACTTTTCGAGTCACAGGCATATAGAGTGATAGCAACCCAATCAGTTTTTGATGGCACACCCAAGCATAATTTAAATGAAACACTCATAATCTGGGAATCAGACACCCATCGGAATTTCTGTGATTCGGCGCACTCCCATTTCTGAAATTCACTTTTCGAGTCACAGGCATATAGAGTGATAGCAACCCAATCGGTTTTTGATGGCACACCCAAGCATAATTTAAATGAAACACTCATAATCTGGGAATCAGACACCCATCGGAATTTCTGTGATTCGGCGTCCTGGTTACACACTGCAGTTTGGACTGCACTGGGACTTACTGCTTCCACACAGCGCTTGTGATCTTCATTATAGATTAAAAATTGCCTCGTGTCTGTTAATAAAAAGGGGAAGAAGAAGAAAGAATGTTTAAGTGAGTTCATGTAACAAGGATAATATTTTAGGTCAAAAGTTCCCAAACTTTCCATTTCCCTAAAGACATGATTACAGGAAAAGAGCGTAAGGTGACTGTGTCTGGGCCAGCTTGACTCCCTCCTGAGGATCCCAGAAGCTGGAGAGAGGGGTGGCTTGAGAATCTGCCTTGGGTAGCACCTGTGGCTGCTAGCAATCCACCGAGAGTGTTCCAGATGCGCTGGCTCATCATGAGAAGCCTTATGAAAAGGCACACCATAAATGCTCATGAATTCCAGTGCAACGAATGTAAAAGGCAGATAGATAACAGGATGGAACAATCAATCTGAGAAAAGAAAATTTGGGTAATATGAATACAATAAGCTGTAAAATTAAATATACATACGTCTTAAAATAAGATTTTGGAGTGGGACATGTCTCAACCCTCTTTGAGATAGATAGATGAAACCTATATATAATTATTCTAATGATAGCACTACAGGTTTGCATCTTTATTTTAAAAGTATTTTCACTTTAGATCATTTATCTTTATTTTATATCCTACAAATGTTTTAACTACATGCTTTCTGGGTAGCCAAAATTGGGCTAACTCAACAAGGTTTCTGTTGTTGTTTTATTTTTTTTTTTCCCTTTTAACAGTAGGTAACTTAGATTTAGCATCTAGGGATAAATCAGTGTCAATTATATTAAGATAATTTTCATTTCATTGGCATGCTCAATCTAACCTTTGTACATCAAAATGATACAAAAATGTGTTTCAAAGTTTAATAATTTGTGAAGGTTGCAATAAAGGATAAATAAATGTAAGTTTTGCATCCTTGGGGAGAATATTTTATGAGAATAACTTTTAAAATAAGATTTTTTATACTTGTGATCTGGGACTGGTGATTTAAATAAATACAGAGGGATAGCTCATGCTTATAGCACATAGCTGCTAACTGGCAAAACTGGATTTCCTGTTGCAAAAAATGAAAAAAAAAAAAAAAGGCAAGCATATTTTGTCCCTTCAATCAAAATTGAATTTATGTAAAGGTTTTTATTGTTTGTTTATTTTAAAGAATATGGAAATGAAAGGAACAGACTGGCTTCTTTTAATTTTGTGACATAAATATAAACACTTCTCTTGACATTTTCCTAAATTCCTTCTACTTACATGGTTCTTTCAAAATGAATTGGTAGTATCCCAGATTTGTGTGCGTGTGCGTGTGCGTGTGTATCTGGCTGGTATGGGAATCCTGAATCCATGACCTTGGTGCCATAAGGCTGCACTTTAACCCACTGAGCTAACTGGCCAGCCCATATCCCAGATGTCTGAGGATCTGACTAGATGAGCTCATTATTTTTAATCAAATCATCCCAGTAAAAGAAAACAGTAAGAATAGTAGCACTGGTAGAGTCCTTCCCTGTTTTCAAAGCACTTTCACAAGCCAACACCCTAGTGAGCTTAGTATCACTTACACTTCCCAATTGGTTCTTGGATCATCGACTTAAAGCTTATAATAAATCTTTGCCTCAAAGATTATTTTCTCTTAATGTCTCCTTTATCTGGTGTCATCCATGTTTGATCAAGATCTCCTGCCTCTGTTGTCTGGGTCCCTAGTTTTATGCTACTTCAAGCCTCTACCTGGTTTCCTCAGCAGAGTAACTCATTTGTGCTGGTTTGATTTCTGGGAATCGGGACTCTTTCAAGCCTGAATTCAGAAAACCTGCTTCTGATGATTCTCTGGGGTTGACATCTGTCAACCAAACGTGTGCTACCTGACTGAATCTCCTCTGTCTAACTGAATTGCTTCCCATGCTTGGTAACATTTTATTGTTACCAGTGCCCTGATGTGACTAAAGGATTAACTTTCTGCCTTGGCAATAAGATTAAAATGTGAATATGATGGTGCTTTGTCTACAATAAAACACAGGAAATAGGAAAATAAAAACAATTAAAAAAAAAAACAAACAATTACTACGATCATTAACTACACAGCTCCTGCAATCCAAAAAGGTAATGAACTCTGAAAAAAAAAAAATATATATATATATATATACACATATATATATATATATAAAACTCAACCTTACTGGCCTTTATGTTTAAAGTAATTTGTTTTTGCTCTTCCACCTACTGTTTTTCTAGCTGGTTTTTCCTTCCACTTTGCAGATAGCTTTGCTCAGGAACCACTCATCGTTAATAATAAGTGTATCTTCCGCCTCATACTTCAGGCATTTTGATTGTGTTGCCAAATATAGCAAACCCTTATTAACTGGCCAAATTCACTCAATCAACCAATTGGGTAAGCAGCTATTGAAGGTAAAGTGCTCAAAAGTCTTTATAAACAAATGAAGTGTCTCTTTCAGAGGTTTTCATACTTATTTGATTTTTATGTGCCGAGTTTTCATCTGTAGTTCCTTTTTAATTTTACTCTAAATATGATGGTATTTAACCAGCAAGCATCCAAACTTCCCTTTCTCATTCATGCCAATACCATCCACCCAGATGCATCTTCCAGAAACCTAGGAATTGTCCTGGATTCCCAGCCTTCCCTCACTTCCCAGGACAACAGCAGAATCTATTGGCTCTACCCAAAAATACACTGCAATGGTTAATTTTATGTGTCAACTTGGCTAGGTCACGACACCCACATATTTGGTGAAACACAAGTCTGGATGTTGCTGTGAAGGTATTTTTTCACGATGAGATTATCACCGAAATCATTAGACTTTGAGTAAAACAGATTACCCTTCCTAACAAGAGTGGGCCTCATCCAATCTGTTGAAGGCCTTAAGAGAAAACAGACTGAGGAAGCAGAAGAGAGAATTGCCTGAAGAAGAGGAAATTCTGCCTCTAGAATTCTGCCTTTGGACTTGAACTGCAATATCAACTCTGGCCTGAGTTTCCAGCCTACCCCTGCCAATAATGGACTTGCCAGCCTCCACAACTGTGTGAGCCAATTTCCTTAAATAATTCTCTCTCTCTCTCTCTCTCTCTCTCTCTGTGCACACACACACACACACACACACACATACACACACCCTATTGGTTCTGTTTCCGTGGAGAATGCTGACTAATCCAAATCCACTCTCTTCGTACCACCCTAGACCACCAAGCCACCACGTTCTTACACTGGTCTTCCTCTCTTTGAAATGAATCATCAAGGAAGATAACACCTGATCTCCCACTTTCCTGGGAGGAGATGGCCTGCCTTGTCACATGACTCCAAATTGCAAAACCAAATCGCTCAGTTGTAGTCACTGAGCTACATAAAGAGCGAGATTCCTTTGTTTTCATGGTCTCTTTAGCAGATTGCCTGTGATGCACATCATACTCTGGTTGAATGCCTCTTACTAATAAAACTATTTTCTTTCTCTTCTACCTTTGCAGAGGTGGTTTTCTGGATTGGGAAGAGATTTCATTTCTAACTATAGTTCCCTAACAGTTTAAATCTGTCAAGAGTGTACCACTGCACCCACGAGAAAAACATCCAGCCGCCACATTACAGAGATGGCATGATCTAGCCCGCTCCACCCTGCCCTCACCCACTCCACTCTCGCTGTCACTAGCCACCTTCCAACCACACCACCTTTTTGTTTCTCAAACACTCCAATCTCATTTCCACTTTAATGACTTGACATTTTGAGTTTCCTCTTCTTGAGATGCTCATTAAATCCCAGCTGAAATGTCAACTCTCTAGAAGCTGACCATCCTAATTTAACTCGCCTATTTTCTATATAAGATGCATAACCACGTTAAAATATATTCTTTTTCTTTTGTTTGCTTAGGCTTTGTCAGTCTCCCTCTTTTGGAATATAAACTCCATGAGAAGAGGAACTTGATCTTTCTGGTTCAGTACCATAGTCTCTCTTTGTGGAGCATAAATAGTCTGTCAATCGGTATTAGTTGAATAAATAAAAGAATATTTATTAAATCTGAAGTATCTTGACTAGTAACCCAGCTAAAGTTATTTAAGAATGTATTAATGATTATGGGTCTATTTAATATTAATTTTTCCCCGAATGCTTATTTTTTACTAATGAGCAATTTGTAAATATTTATACTTATGAAAAGAGTATCTGGAAATGAAAAGCTTCTATTTCAATACACACTTATCTATTCTTGTTTCCTTCATTATCTTTTGGCATTAGGAAGCAGTGTACATTTGATATTGCCATTGCCAGACAATACAAGGAAGTGTAAAATTATCATTTTATGGTGAAATATTTATGCACTATTCTTCTCCCAAGTAGTCAACATGGAGTTTTGCTTTTATCATTGCCCCTGTGCAATGTATCTGATTTAAAATGTCATACTTCTTCCTCTGAAAGTGTATTCAAGACCTTGACCAAAAGGCACCTTGTGGCATTTTTGCCACCATTAGCCACACCAATGTGATACACTTATTCTATTTTTTGTATACACTACTTATGTGATTATAATAGAAATAGTGCAGAGGTACACAAATGAGGACAGCTGGATAGCTATATTCACTTCTCTGCAATCTCATTTATGAAATCTAACATGTGAGTTTCCTTTTTTAATACTTACACACCAGAAATTTATTTATAGAATCGGAGAGATCCTCCCTTCATCATAACTTTATCTTTCTAATCTCACATTTACTTTTCAACAAATATTTGATGAACAACTACTACGCGCCAGACACTGTGTTAGCAACAATACAAAGACAACCCAGAGAGACAAGTTTTCTGCCCACACTGAGCATACATTCTGTGGTGGTGATCTCAAGGGCAGAAATATCAAAGTCAAAAGTACATTTGGGAAAGAAGCAATAACTTTCAACTCAATATCTCAGGTTACAAATAACTGAAGACTTAACATCCAAAAATATTGGCATAAATTTTCTTTCAAGCATGTTTTAACAATTTAAAGTTATCCCATAACATTGGGCAAGTAATTAAACTTCCAAGCCTACTAACAAAGAAAATCAGGTTATTAAAGGTGATTATTTAGGGATACAACTAGAATAGGCCAAATTGTCCAATACATTTTTAGACTTTCTCCACTATCAACAAGTAAAATGCTGACATTAAAACATACAAGAAAATAACTTCTAGAAGACAGAAAAGCTGGATAGGAGGAAGATAAGCGAGTACTCCATAGTGGATCCTGCCAGAAGCACAAGTATTTCTCCTTGGCCTTTGCCATTCCGGCACATGCCGGCCCCACTCCCAAATGTCAGCACCACGTCTTTTGGCTTGGGGGCTTTTTCTGGCCATCAGAGCCCCCTATGCCTGTACACATGTGGACTAGACAGGTCAAAGAATTAGCGCCCCCTGGGAGTTGCCCTTTGGCAGTGACTAATGGGAACTGATGCTCTAAATGCTTTGCAGCTTGGATGGGATCACTGAAGCGCGTGTTCCCCAGCAGGACTGAGCTCCACTGGCCTACATGGTCACTGGCTTGTTAACACACCTTCCCTTCCTGTCTCACTTCCCCACTCCCCTGCTGCTGTCCCTGGGATCGCCTCCCAAACAAAACGCTTGCATTACATCAGAGATCAGCTCCCAGGGAACTCAAACGAAGAAACATGCCCAAGAGCCTCAGTAAATGAACATAAAACCTGCATAGATATCCCCCAAAGAACTGAAATTAGGTGGAAAACAAATATTGATCATACACCTGGTATATGCAAAAAAGCTACGCCAGGTGCTGGGGGGAGATAACTCACAAGCCTGGTATTAGGCTTAGCCACGTGAAATGAAAGAATAAAGGAAAAATGGAGAATTACTTTATTTTTCACTTTGATCCTTCATTCATTTGCCAGATATTCAGAGGAGCTACTAATTTACTTTGGCCATGTGGGGAGATACAAATAGGAATTCAAACTGGGTTCTTGACCTCAAGGAGAAAATAGAGATCATGAAACTCTTCCAGCTTCCTGCCTATCTATGCCTTCCCTGGGTCATTCATCCCCATCGTGGTAGAAGAGACCTCCTTCTTTCCAATAATCTCTCTGCCTGTGCCCTGGGTCCCACCCCCTCCTGCCTCTCCACCACTCTCCTTTCCTCTCACTCTTATAGCTTCCACCTCAGAATGCCAGCTTCCCCCTCAACTTCAAGACACATAAAAACCTGGAGGTGAGAACGTGACACTACACTGCTCTTTCTTCTTCCACTCATGGTCAGGCTAATTTATTCATCTTATGTGTCCTGTCAACCTGATCACAATGGAATCAGAGCTCTAGCACTGGGTTAGTAGATAACCAGACTCTTCTGCTCACTGGCTGTGTGACCTTGGTCAAGTTTCGCAACTACTCTGGGCTTCTGTTTTTCGATCTGTGGAATAAAGGGGAAATAATAGGACCTACTCATTGTTGCAAGAATTAAATGAGATAGTCTAAATAAAGTGCTTAAATAAGAAAGAACGAATAAATGAAAGAAACAACAATCACAATCATACGTTGAATTTTCAAAAGGAAAGAACAGAACTGTGGCTATTAGAGGTGGGGAAAAGGGTGGAGATTAGTGAGAAAT